ATTAAGAAAATAATTTCAAATATTTGTGGAAGATTAGTTAAAAAGTAGGTATCATGATTTGGAAAAAGTGTTCATATTTCAAAATTGGAAAAAAAACATTCGACACTTTAATATTCACTATTCGCTATGTGTTCTGACTTTATTCATTTTTTTTTCTTCAACAATCCAACACAGCCAAGACAACGATGAGCGGCATAGTGTTTGAGGTAAACAATGGATTGGCATCGGAAAACTGCCAGAAGCTGTATCTGGATCCAATGACCGCTGATGTGCATTTCGTGTTCAGCATGAGCGCAAAAAATATTTCATCACACAAGATTATCCTATCTGTTGGTAGTCCTGTGTTCCATGCCATGTTCTATGGTTCGTTACCTGAGAAAGGAGACGTTGTCATTAAGGATGCATCTCCCGGTGCGTTTAAAGAGTTTTTGCAATTTTTCTACTTGAGCAAAGTGCAACTATCATCGGAACACATCTTTCAAGTGGCCAATTTGTGCAAGAAATATGCGGTAAACGAGGGATTAAAGCTGTGCGAAGCTCCGATAATGCAGTCACTGACAATCAACAACATGTGTACGGGTTATGCAGCGGCATTACTACTTAATATGAAAATCGTCATCGAATTCTGTGAACGAAAAATCAAGCAAGAGGCAACGAAAATTCTGAAATCGGCTGATTTCTTGGATTGTGACCACATGCTACTGGACAAAATACTACAGTTGGTATCATCGAAATGCAGCGCATTGGATATTGTTGGTACATTGATGGCTTGGGCCAAGGCCGAATGCATACGGGAAAAAATGCCTGGAATTCCGGCAAACCTTCGGGAACAACTCAACCATTCATACCATCGAATTCCATTCCATGAATTGTCCCACGAACAATTCGCACGGCACATCGTTATGTATCCCGGGTTTTTTACAAACACAGATTTGGAAACGATCGTTTTGAAGATCTTGTCAAAGAAGGCACATATGAGTGCGTTGACATACCCAGAGCCACTAGTACGAAGACTGGATTGTGATCGACAGGTTGATAATAGCTCCGTGGACTTTTATATTCATCTTTCGATGCCAAACTCGAGCTTTTTCATTGCAAACAAAGACCTTTTTCTAACCGAGTTGTATTTAGCGAAATCATCATTACCTAATGATTTGGTCGGTCAGGTGACCATTTTTCCACGGAGTCAGCCAATTTCGACTGAACATGAATTTGTACTATCTTCCGGTAAAGAGACTCATCTCATTCTTCCAACGCCAGTAAAAATTGATGCAAATACTGAGTATGGTATCCGGCTCAATGCTCCGATGGGAAGTATCGGTTTCAAGAGAAGGCCACTCAATCAATGCGTCAAATTAAGGGATGACATCAACATTCGCTTTATCAATGACCAAGGCATGGTGACACGGCTTGTATTCCAACAGCCAATTGGGTAGTTTTGGATAAACTTTGTCATAGCGACTCGACCAGCCTCTTCTTGGCCTATTACAGTGACAACATCTAAAAAAAAACAACATTTAGATTTCATACACTGGAGTTGATTCAACGATTTCAATTGCTCTAAGTGAACATTTTAAATATGTCAAACAGTTTCATCCTTTGTCACAGAGTCTTTGAATAAATCATAGAAAAAATTTAATTGTTGATTTTTACTTCATATTTCAAGAATCATTTCGACATAACAATTCCATATGCACGCGTGACACGGTGAATTCAATGTACGACATCTGTCAAATTTTGGTGGGGAGATACACAGAAGTGATTGTCATTTGTATAGCTAACATTGAACTAGTTATTCATTTTGAAGCGTAACCAAATTCAGACCATACAATTTCCTTACTACGTCTATCTGATCTAAATTATCCCTTGAAACCATTCTAATCCATCATCTGAAGAAAAGATTCGCTGAAATGTAAGTGTTCTCAATGATTTTTAATCAAAATTTGGACCATTCATTTGGAAAAAGAACTCTTTCTGTCCTACTAAACATTTTCTGTAATAAATATTTCCCTTTTTCTCTTCAAAAGTCACCAATAGATCGATTACAATGGCTGTCCAAGTGTTTACGCGTGAAAATAAACTGAAACAACTCAGATATGAGCAGTTGTATCTGAAAACCAAAACGTCTGATCTGAACTTTGTTTGCGGTGGCGATCGATCGACAAATATCCCCGGTCATAAATTTTTACTCTCAGTTGCGAGTCCAGTATTTGAGGCTATGTTCTACGGTTCCACTAAACCATCGAACGACATCCCGATTGATGGCATATCTACCGAGGCTTTTAAAGAATTCCTGCAATTGTTTTACCTCAACAAAGTGCAGCTAACATCGCTGAATATCATCGAAGTGGTGCAATTATGCAAGAAATACGAAGTGGCTGATGGTTTAAGCGTTTGTGAGTCTCCATTGGTAGCATATTTAATTACGAATCTCGATGACATGTGCTTAAACTATGGTAAGGCTCTTAATCTGAACGTACCGAGTGCGATTCGCAATTGTGGCCTGAAAATCGGTGAAAATGCATTCGAAGTGTTGAAGTCAAGCAGTTTCTTGAAATGCGATCGAAAGCTGTTGGACAAAATTTTGGAAATAGTGGCATCAAAATGTAGCCCATCTGTGATTGTCGAGTCATGTATGGCTTGGGCAAAAGCTGAATGTGTACGGCAACAATTAGACATTACAACGGTCAATTTAAAAGCTCAACTCAAGAATTCATTGAATCGAATTCCATTTGATAAACTCAGCACCGAACAGTTTTCACAGCACATCAACACGTACAAGCGCTTTTTCGTCGAAGACGAACTGGAATCATTGGTTTTGACTGCAATGTCAAAGAAGGCAAAGTTGTGCGATCTAGTGAACAAACTTGATCCATCAATGCATTTGGAAGTTAAAATGCATTTGGTGGATTGTGATCGTCGATTGAAGACCAGCGCAAACGGTTCATATCAAAAACTCATTATGCCACATTCAATCACCTTCATGTCTAGTGCTCTAGGAGTTCTACATCGCAAAATTGGTACGTGGCGCTGCTTCGCAAACTGTTACGTATAGCAGTATTAAAGCCCCAGATGGAAAGATATCAACAACAGTCACATGCCATCCAAATTTTGTTACTTGCCGCGCAGAAGTTATCGAAGGTGGATCCTCATTGGCATCACATGAAGTAAAGCTCAATTCTGACCATGAAGCCCATGTCGTTCTCTCAGATCCAATCACCATCAATCCAAATGTCACATACAGAATAAATCTGACAACAAACCAACCCCATAATACCCATTGGCATATGACACCTCTTTCAACATCGTTTTACTTGAATCAGCACGGCACTGGTGATGGCATCCGAATCCATTTTCCAGCGGAACGAATAAGCATCTATTCGAACGACATGATTACACGCCTCATTTTCCAATCAGCTCAAATGGGAACTCAAAAAAAGCGCTGATTGTTAAGAACATATAACAAAATTAAAGTTTATCCAAAGCTTTGTCAATCTACTGTTTATTCAAATAAATCACATAAATTTTTAATAAAAATAAAAATAGAGCAATAAACAACAGCTCATAAAGTTTCTCTATAAAGGATAATGTGAAATAATAATTAATTTCGTTATTAATAACATATTGTAATGTAAAAATAATGCTACGTGAATTCAAATCATTTATCGTTTGAAAATGTGATTCCTAAGCGATCTCTTTGTGAATGTATTCATTCGAAGTGCGTTTTGGAGTACGTTCAATGTAAATGCTCCTTTATAATTGCACGTGTTTCACACCAGAGCACAAGCTATGTGAAGAAAACACACCACTTGAAATGTCAAAGTATTGCGCAACAAAAGTCTAGTTCACATCATAAAACTTTAAAATTAGATTTTCGTCGATAGTTTTGATTCTTATTCGAGTTTTCATACTAAAAATCAACGTAATTGATTACACATTACTTGAATCATATTTAGAGCAACGAAAGTTCTGAAAAGTGAGTATAATTCTATACCTATTGTGCGGACACTCCTTCTGAATGAGGTTCAAATTTGATTTTCACACAATTATTTCAAACGTATGTTTCTATATTTTGTTTCCAGGTGCTGAAAACGTTAAGCAACGATGACCGACAGCGTGTTTGAAGGAAAAAACCAATTACCTCGCAGCAATTCCGAAAAGTTCTACCTCGATTCGAATTTGGCTGATGTAAAATTTGTGTTCAACGCTGGAACTGATCATGTTGAATATATCCAAGCACATAAAATGATCCTGTCTATTGGCAGTTCGGTGTTCGCTAACATGTTTTATGGTTCATCGACCAAACAAGATGATGTTCCAATTGACGACGTGTCTGCTGTGGCATTCAAGGAATTTTTGCAATTTTTCTATTTAACCACACTTCGACTTACGTCCAAACACATCGCCGACGTTATCAATTTGTGCAAAAAGTATAAGCTAGTAGGGGTGCTGGCAATCTGTGAGGCTGCATTGCGAAAGTCACTCACCATCGACAACATGTTCTCTGTCTATGCTATAGCCATTCATTACGAGCTTACGAACACGATCTTCTTTTGCGAGATGCAAATGGTACAAAATGCGGAAGCAATTTTGGAATCAACGAATTTTTTAACATGCAAACGCGATCTGATTGATCATGTAACTCAGTTGGTGACACCGGAACTGGAAATGAAACTGAAAGTCGGCAGTGCATGGGTGATTGTTAATGCATACATGGCATGGGCAAAAGCCGAATGTGGACGAAACAATCTGGAAAAAACCACAGCAAATCTCAGGGCACAGCTGGGACAATCATTTGCTAATATTCCATTTGTTGAATTGAGTTCCATGCGTTTCGAACAGTTTTTGACTAACTACAATGGTTTTTTAAGCGAATCAGATGTGCGACGATTACGACAACAACGACGACTACGACAACAACGGAAACGAGAACGATTTTGAATTGGATTTTATGGATTTTGATGGTAAATTTGATAAGCCGGATTATGACATAAATTAACCATTCCAGTAACAATGATTGAAAAAAAAATACTCGCAAGGAATAGGTTCTACTCATAAATGTAAACACACACACTTTTCTACTCAATTGAAATAAGTCCAAAGTATCATAGAATTAGTTGATTACAATCACTTCAATTAAAGATTCAAAATATGTCAAAGAAGATCATTCATCAAATACATTCCACATTTCTCTGATTGCATGTTTTTATTTATTTTATCTGAGATTGATCGATTTTCTTTTGTCCAATTAATTGAAGAAAATTTTCAGTTACGTTTGTTTGATCAAAATTATCACTTTGAATCATCCCAAGCCATTATCCAAATAAAAGAATTCGTTAAAATATACAATGTATGTATTTTCAATGACTTTTATTGAAAAGAGAAGGAAATTAAATCGAGAATTGTGTGCTAACACTAGCCGACAGTATTTTAGGTCCAGAGATGTGGCTAGTATATTTTGAAAGGGCTCGGCCGCGCGAGTTAAAAACACGGTACGGTTACTTTGGAAGTGTTCGTATTCTTTGGAAATTAATCTATATGCAAAATTACTGGTTTTAGCCATGGATTTTTCAACATTAAAGACTGTAAAATTTACAGTAGACAGCATAGGACCAAAAGTACGATGGTTCTTGAAACAAGAGAGCCATAGCTTTCAAACGCGCCATAGAACATTGAAATCGATTCAGTGGTTTAAAAGTTATGGACCTGAAAAGTGTGGAAACATTATTGAAAAATCTCAATTTTAGCTACATTTTTCATGTTTGCTTCAAGAGATCTCTGTGAATTCATAATTATCTGGCAGATTTTACATTTGTATCGTAAAATTGTATCAATTCTGAACAATTTAGACCAAGATCTGATTGCTGTCCGACCACTAACAGAGAAGTAACAGTTGTACTTAAGCGCTGGCGAACGTTAAAAATCAAGAAAAATCTAAATTAAAGGCAATCCAATAATCATGTTCCGAGGATCCAAAGGTCATATATTTTTGGGAATCTTATTTTTTGGTCAAAAACCGAAACTAGGCCAAATTTGGAGCCAATCTGATGGAAAATTTGGGTACTTCTCATACAAAAGTTTCGAATTTCATCTCTGAAATAGCAACATTTGTATGGGAGGTACCTTTATTTCTTTACCGATTGGCTTCAAACTTGGTAAGTTTCAAATTTTTGTACAAAAAATGGGCCTCGTAAAATATGAAGCCAATTGATCAATAAATAAAGGTACCTCTCATACAAATTTTGCTATTTCAGAGATGAAATTCGAAACTTTTGTATGAGAAGTACTCGAATTTTCCATCAGATTGGCTTCAAATTTGGCCTAGTTTCGGTTTTTGACCAAAAAATAAGATTCCCAAAAATATATGACCTTTGGATCCTCGGAACATGATTATTGGATTGCCTTTAATTTAGATTTTTCTTGATTTTTAACGTTCGCCAGCGCTTAAGTACAACTGTTACTTCTCTGTTAGTGGTCGGACAGCAATCAGATCTAGGTCTAAATTGTTCAGAATTGATACAATTTTACGATACAAATATAAAATCTGCCAGATAATTATGAATTCACAGAGATCTCTTGAAGCAAACATGAAAAATGTAGCTAAAATTGAGATTTTTCAATAATGTTTCCACACTTTTCAACTTTTAAACCACTGAATCGATTTCAATGTTCTATGGCGCGTTTGAAAGCTATGGCTCTCTTGTTTTAAGAACCATCGTACTTTTGGTTCTATGCTGTCTACTGTAAATTTTACAGTCTTTAATGTTGAAAAATCCATGGTTAAAACCAGTAACTTTGCATATAGATTAATTTCTAAAGAATACGAACACTTCCAAAGTAACCGTACCGTGTTTTTAACTCGCGCGGCCGAGCCCTTTCAAAATATACTAGCCACATCTCTGGACCTAATTTTTTTCTAAATTTGTCTATTAGTGTAATATTCAGTATATATATTATGAAAAAGGTCAGATATTTCGGGTGGTACATGTATTTATTCTTGCTTTTTGATCTAACTGAAATTTTTTTTACTTTAAACTAAAGGCTCGTTCGCATTTCGCAATCACTTCTTTGCGTTAATGACTCGTTTCCCCTGGTGGCATTCATAGTATGTAGCATATATGCATATTTGTTCGTGTATTTGTTTCTCTGAGCATGTAGAACTTATCGCATCGCTTGGCAAAACGACTTCTGCCCACACAGAGTCGATTACTCTGTGTGTGTGTATGAGCTTCAGCATTAAACGCACAAGATATGCCAAGGTGAAAAAAAGCACATCACTTGAACTGTCAAAGTATTACACAACAAAATTCGAGTTCTCATCATAAAACAACAAAATTAGTTTTTCATCGATAGTTTTGATTCTTATTCAAGTTTTAACTTTGCCAAAATCAACGTAATTGATTAAAAGTGAGTATAATTGATAAAACAATGAGAATCAAGCACATATGATTGTCTTAAAATCGATTTAAACTCTGGTTTCTCAAGGAACTTCAGGCCGAAATCAACGATGAGCAACAAGGTATTTAAAATAAAAAACCGCTTGCAAATCAATTCCGACGAATTTTACCTCGATCCGAATTCGGCCGATGTGAATTTTGTGTTTGGTATTGGAACTGATCACGTTGAATATGTCCCAGCTCATCGAATCATTCTGTCTGTCGGAAGCTCTGTGTTCGATACCATGTTCAATGGTTCATTACCCGAAAAAAGTGACATCTCAATCGGCGATACATCTGCTGCGGTGTTCAAGGAATTCCTGCAACTTTTCTATTTGAACAAAGTGCAACTCTCACCCGAACACATCGCCGACGTTATCAATTTGTGCAAGATGTACGAGATGGCCGAAGCGTTGAAAATTTGTGAGGCTGCATTGCAAAGTTTACTTATCATCGATGACATGTGCTTTGGCTATGCATTGGCCATTCTATACGATCTAACCAGCACGATTGAATTCTGCGAGCAAGAGATCGTACAAAATGCCAGAAAGATTTTTTGTTCTGCCAGTTTTTTGGAATGCAATCGCAACATGGTGGACAGAATCATTCAGTTGGTGAAAACGAAACTGGAATTGCTGATCGGTCTCGATTTGGTCATCGCCGAAGCATACATGGACTGGGCTAAAGCTGAATGTGGACGCAAAAATCTGGAAGAAACTCTAGCAAATCTCAAAGCTCAACTGGGACCATCATTTAGCTATAGCATGTTATAACACTCCATTTGCTAAATTGACAAAGGAACAATTCATACAATTTACTGCTGTCTATAAAGGTTTTTTGAGCGAGTCAGAAGAGGCAACAATAACTTCTTTGTTCATGCATGCATACACACCATATGATATCCAGCTCAATGCTGCAGTCGTATCGGCTTCAAGTAAAAACTACACAATCAATTTACCAAATTGAGAAATGACATCAACACTCGCTTCATTCTTATTCATTTGGCTGATGCACATACTATGTCACGTTTAAATTTCGATTTTTTATTTATCATGATTCTGGCATGTCATTTTGTTTCATAAATAAAAACTACTCAGTATTCAATAGAGATTCATTCGGTCTAATTTTTTTAATTAAATTTTTTCATCTGAATGCAAAATGTTTAAGATTTGAGAAAAACATATTGAAAATCGCAAAAACTGGTCCGGTCCCATATTTGTAAGTATTTAAAAGGAAAATATAGGGTGTATTAACACCTCCTGAATCTTTACTTTGTTAATTCAAATTTTACACTGCCAAATTAGATTATATCGTTCCTATTTATAATATGTTCAAATAGGTCAGTCTATACAATTCGATGTGATTCGTAGCAGTTCAGTTAGTTCCAAAAATACATCTATTCAGCCGATATGATCACGCGCCTCATTTTCCAAGCAGCAGACATAATTGAAAAAGTACGAGAGCGATAAATAATGAGGAATCATCGTCGAGGATTGATTCGAGACTCAAAAGAGTTTGTGACTGAAGACAGTTCAAGCATTTGTGATTGTCTGTTATCATAGCTACTGACAATTTCCGAGTTTTTCCCAATATTCATGATAGAAACAAACACTGATTGTTAAAAACATACAAAATTGAAGTTTTTCCAATACTTTGGTAATCCATAATTTATTCAAATAAACGACATAAAATTTCAATTGAAATGAAAATACAATAGGCAGCAACTCATAACGTTTGTCTGTAAAGGGTAATGTGAAATAATAATAATTAATTCCATTATTAATAACATATTGTAATGTAAAATTAATGCTACGTGAATTCAAATCATTTATCGTTTGAAAATGTGATTCATAAACGATCTCTTTGTGAATGTATTCATTCGGAATGCGTTTTGGAGTACGTTCAATGTAAATGCTCCTTTATAATTGCACGTGTTTCACACCAGAGCACAAGCTATGTGAAGAAAACACACCACTTGAAATGTCAAAGTATTGCGCAACAAAAGTCTAGTTCACATCATAAAACTATAAAATTAGATTTTCGTCGATAGTTTTGATTCTTATTCGAGTTTTCATACTAAAAATCAACGTAATTGATTACACATTACTTGAATCATATTTGGAGCAACCAAAATTTTGAAAAGTGAGTATAATTCTATAACTCTATGGGTGAGATTGAGAGTGGAGTATGTTTTTTCTTCGATTTATATGTTTGAAAAGGCGAGTATGTTTTCTGATGATTCTGTTGGCGTTAAAGTAGAGTATTTTGTAGTACCGTCTAGCCTCCGCGGTCTTCACGGTTTTCGCGCAACTGATAAAAGATAACAACATGGTGTCTTCGGCAAAGTTGTAGTACTTGAGGTCTTCTATAACTAAGCTGAAGACAAATATCTCTTATCTCTTATCAGTTGCGCGCAAATCGCGCACATGAAAAAGCAAATTTTATATAGAACTTTTTTTTTCTTATCATTTTTCGCGCTTTTCGCGGAACTGATAAGAGATAAGAGATAACTGTCTTCAGTGATGTTATAGAAGACCTCGAGTGCTACAACTTTACCGAAGACAACAAGTTGTTATCTCTTATCAGTTCCGCGGTAACCGTGAAAAATCGCGAGGACCCGCTAAAAACGAACATACTCGCTTTTAACCATTTTTAAGTCGACAGAAACTTGCTCTTCTCTTTCGTAACAAAGTCAATCGAACATACACTACTCTCAATCTCACCCATAGAACTATTGAGCAGTCACTCCTTCAGTATGAGGTTTTAATTTAATTTCCACACAATTGATCTGAACGTATGTTTCCATTTTATGTTTCAAGGAATTCCAAACATCGGGCAACGATGACGCACAGCGTGTTTGAAGTAAATAACCAATTGTCACAGAACAATTTCGAAAAGTTTTACCTCGATTCGAATTCGGCTGATGTGAAATTTGTCTTTGGTGCTGATCATGTCGAAACTGTTCCAGCTCACAAAATCATCCTGTCAGGCAGCAGCCCAACATTCAACACTATGTTCTATGGTTCATTGCCCGAACAAGGTGATGTCCCAATGGACGACACGTCTGCAGCAGTATTCAAGGAATTTTTGCAATTTTTCTATTTGACCACAGTTCGACTCACGTCCGAACACATCGCCGATGTTACCAATTTGTGCAAGAAGTACGAAATGGTCGAAGCATTGAAACTCTGTGAAGATCCACTGCAGAGGTCATTCACCATCGACGGGATGTGCTCTGGATATGAATTGGCCATTCTACTCGATCTAACCGATACGATACAGTTTTGCGAGCAGAAAATCATACAGCACGCGGAATCAATTTTGAAATCAACCAGTTTTCTGGAATGCAATCGCGATCTGATTGACCAAATAATTCAGTTGGTGATACCGGAACTGGAACTAAAACTGAAAGTCGGCAGTGCATGGGTGATTGTTAATGCATACATGGCATGGACAAAAGCTGAATGTGAACGAAACAATCTGGAAGAAACCACAGCAAATCTCAAAGCTCAACTGGGTCAATCACTTGCTAATATTCCGTTTGTTGATTTGAATGCGGAACAATTCGGGCGATTCATTGCCACGTACAATGGTCTTTTGAACGAGTCAGATTTGATAACAATCATTCAGAAGACCAAGAAAAAACAAGAAGTTGAAATGGAAATGAAAAACCAAGCTGACCGCACGTTGATTTGTGACCGTCGATATCCAAGCCCTTCTTCTACCAACTATTCTGTTTTTATTTCGAGTTCAAACAGGTTCACCGCAAATAAACAACTTTGGCTGAAAGAAATTTACTGCGCACGATCAACACGTGATTATGCTGGGAGTCTAAATGCATTAATCTATCGCGCTGGCAATAGAGTGTTGCCAAACCCTTTATACCTAATATTGATTTCATCATCTGAATTACATGCTGTACTCGAACAACCGATACAAATCGATCCTCAAGTTGAATATGAAGTGGAATTCTCGGGTGAATCGTGGGCAGGACCAAGCTTTAAATTAAATGTTCAAATGGGAGATGGTTATGAAATTAAATTCTCAAACAATGGATCAATTTCCCAACTTGTCTTCCTGAAGCCAGACGCCTGAAATCGTGCAGCACCAAAATGGCTCAAGACAAATTCAACAATCTCAGTCAAGAGAAGAACTTTTAAGTTGTCTTACTTTGTCATCTCCATTCATTTTCCGTAACTTTTTTTGAAAATAAAAAAAAATTCTGTTAAGTTTTTTCTCATAAACGTACACACATTTCTACGTTCGTTCTAAGATTCAACATTTATATTCCACCATAGGATTAGTTCATTGCATTACAATTGCTTTAAATGAAAAACTGAAATATTTGTCCGACAGTTTGATTCTTTGAATAAATCATAGAAAAAAAAATCAATTTTTCGTTTTTTTTTGCATTTACTTCATGTATGTGTGTTAATAATCATTTTGACATGGCAATTTTATGTGCAGGAAGGAATTTTTTTATTGCGGGACTGGTATCATCGCAAACACGTTGCGAAGCAACAATCATCCCCCACAACGCACACAATCAACAGACACTGATTCTGGGAATCAGGATTGTTAAAGAAGCCCATCTCGTTCTTTCATGGCCAGTTGCTATCAACCAGAACGTGAAGTATGGAATACAAGTTGATGTTGGCCCGGAAAAGCGACCTTATTCGAGAATTTATCTTGTTGACCACATTGAATTCGAAGGTGGTATTGGAATTCGCTTTGAATGTGGATCCGACATGATTACTCGTGTCTCTTTTGAACGATTGCGAGATTAGGCCAATGGCCCTTGGCCATAAGTTCCGAACATACAATTTCATTAACGTGCTCGAGTCATAATTCAAAAAATATATTTTCTTCACTTTTCTTCAGAAAAAATAAACGTGAACGTTCTCCGGAGATTCCGCAAGATTTTAATTTAATTGTGAAATTATGCAAATTGAGTTTTTTTTCATTTGGGAAACATTTTTTGCTAGAATTTTGATTCGATAGCATTGAAAACTACTTTTGATTTGAAAACTCTCAACTTGAACACTGGTCAATGAACATACCCCGATGAACGTGTTTAATACTCATTGAGTTCATGTTATGAGATATGTCAGCATTTGGAGGCAAAACATACACTAGTGACAGTTCTTTTCACATTTGCATAGCTATTATAAATGAGTCATTCGATTCGAAGCGTAAGCAATTTTCCCAACAAAAAAAAATTCAAATAAATTCTTTGTTATCAAAAGAATCAATGGATACCTTTGATTTTGAACCACCATCAAAAAAATCAAAAGACGGTTCGGAAAGTAAGTACGCTAAAATTTGAAACATTTAAGCAGAAAATTGTTTTCATTAAAAATGTGCATTGTGCGAGGCACCATTGACTATGAGTATGAGTTTCAATCGACTAAATTTTTACGTTAGAATTCTAAATGCATTTTGTTATTATCCAAAACAGCAATGGTCGACACCGTGTTTGAAAAGGAGATCTATTTAATTCGGAACAACTCGAAAAAGTTGTATTTGAATTCAAAGACGGCCGACGTAAACTTTGTGTTTGGTGCTGGAACTGACCATGTTGAAACTGTTGCAGCACACAAAATCATCCTGTCAATCAGCAGTCCAATGTTTGATACGATGTTCTTCGGTTCACTGCCCGAACAAGGAGACGTCCCAATCGTTGATACATCTCCCGCGGCGTTCAAGGAATTCTTGCAATTTTTCTATTTGAACAAAGTTCGACTCACATCCGAACACATCATCGACGTGTCCATTTTGTGCAAGAAGTACGGGGTGACTGAAGCGTTGAAACTCTGTGAAGAGCCACTGCAAAAGTCATTCACCATTGATGAGATGTGCTCTGGTTATGCACTGGCCATTCTACTCGAGATAACCAACACGATGCAATTCTGCGAACGAGAGATCATAAAAAATGCGGAGGCAATTTTGAAATCGACCAGCTTTTTGAAATGTAATTGCGACACGTTCGACAAGATCATCCAGCTGGTGACATCGAAGTGCAGTGCATCGGCACTAGTTGATGCGTGCATGGTCTGGGCCAAAGCCGAATGTGTACAACAGAATCTGAAAGAAACCACAGCAAATCTCAAGGCTCAACTGGGACAATCGTTTGGTCGCATTCCATTTGCTGAATTGAACAAGGAACAATTCGAACAGTTTATGACCGATTACAGTGATCTTTTGGACAAGTCAGATTTGGCTACAATAATTTCGAAGATGATGACCAAGAAGGAAACGGAAGAACAATCGTGCAGCTCACTGTTCGCATCGAATGATGATCGTCGAGTTGCTATCAATCGCCAGAAAGAAGTCGTCAAATACGAGATATGTTCGTCTTTTGTCCATAATTCCGATTCTGATTCCTTCTAATGAATGTTTTGGCACCATGTCCTTTTCTTGATTCAATGATGTTTACGTTTGATTTATTCTCATAAACGTACACGAATTTCAACGTCAGCGTTATAGTTTAACATTTAGAATTCACATACTGAATCAGCTTGTTTTAGATTATAATAGCTTTAAGTGAACGTTGAAGGTTCCAAATGTGTCGAACAGGGTCATTCATTGAATAAATTTCATATTTTAAGTCATTTTTGTGTGTCATTTTAATCCAACTGAAAAAAATTGAAACGGAGCAAGTCAGATTTTACTCCTATTTCGTCTTGCATCAAGGAAAGAATGAAACTTAAGTTCAAATAATTACGTGAATCACAGTAAGTATACGTTTTTCATAGCGAAATATCCATTGAAAATAATTTGCATGCACATAGCCGTTATGGAGTAATTGGTTAGTATTTTACTGGTGTGTAGTTACAAACACGGAAATTGCGTTGTGTTTCGTCACAATTTAAAATGTTTGTACAATATTCGCAGCAAGTAAGCATTTGTACTCAATCACTACTATCAATTAAGTCATTATTTGTAATAATTTCACCAGACGATGTAGGTAAATACAAATTGTGCAATCAATTTGAACGTTATTGTTTGGCATTGAATCATGATTCTCTATGATTTTCCATGGCCTTGAGTCATTCATATTAAAGTAAATACCCACCTGAAATTTCCTATGAAATCGCAAATGGCGAGATTAACTGCGTTGTATCCTTTCGTCCAGGTTATATCATCGAAAAAGAATAAGAATGCAACTTATACAACAAATATTTCAGCATATTCAAATGTGGCTTGTATTTTATATTTCGAAAGAAAAAACTACTTTAGTAAGCTATTTGGCATTGATATCAGTTGAAAATGAACTGAAAAGCTTTAAATAAAACGTAACTTGTGTTCAGTTATAGTACAATAGGTCTGAGTAGCTGCTGTATTTGTAAGAATGTTATAAAACACTTCCCTAATCATACGTTTAAATCCTCCTTTTCTCCCTAATCCCACGGAATAAAATGGTAGCATCTGCCAAAAATTAACAAATTTTTCATTTATTTTTGTTGTGGAACAAAAAAAGCAGATTATTCAAACGCACAGCGAAAACAAGACCCAAAAGGCAGGTGCAGGGAAGGCATTTGATAACCTCCGCCCGAATCATGTGATAAAACAGAGTGTATATTGCAAGGAAAACGTATGCTCCAACGTAGACACATCCTTGATACACCCAGACAGAAAGTGTTTGATCTTCTTCGAAAATGGGCAACTGTACGAGAAACAGCGCTGCTTTACCGATACCCATAAAGGTAGCTCCACTTCTCCAATGGCTTCTTCAAACTCCAATCATTTCGAGTATTTAGCACGGATCGAATTAACTCTTTAAACGATGGTATTGGCAAATTTTCATTCAACACCATTCTGAAAAGTGTTTCTCCTCCCTTTTTCTGAAAATCAATACTAGAAATTTCTCATGGGAATTAACACATGCATATGAGACTGTGAGTTGTACAACATTGATTGATCTCTGTACTACAATTATCGGAATATTCACAGCTGGTGTGCATTTTCTCACTGGTAAAGTCATTATTTGTAAATTATAAACTGTAAACAAATGCAAAACGTGTACAAATCGATTAAAACTTTATTTGTTTGGCTTTGAACCATTTTGATAATCATATTCCAATTCAAAGCAAAGGCGTTTGATATTGTTTTTATATCGTGCTCATAGTCAAAGAAAAGTTTTGTTAAGAGGGCAATCCTGGGAAGTCCAAAAAAGAATCTTTTCATTTCTCATTGAATGTTACACTTCCTTCAGTCATGGTCTAACGTAAAATTGCCTCAGCGTAGTACTCACCTTATGATGTCATGGTTTTTGTTCATGTTCACACCAATCTTATCATTGTTTCAATTTTTCTTGCTTTAGAAATTAAACCGGATCCGTTTTCTTTTTGGAAAAGTTAGAAAATGAATTTTATTGAAAAATTGAGTAGAAAATGGTGAATAATACAATTTTGTCAAAGATAGACAAGGTAGGTGGCCAGCTCTGATGTAGCTATTGGCTTAGATTTGAACAATTGTTTTGGTAAGAATCATATATGTATTAATGATATAGTCAC